GCCCGGAGCAGACCAAGGACATGCGGGAAAGAATTATAGCTCTTGGCCTGCCTGGGAATGCCTTAATGTTCCCCTGGACAAGCTGGAGGAGGTGGCTGGGAAGAAGGCGGTCTGGGCTTCTCTGCTTAGGCTGCTGCCCCCGCGACCCAGCCCCAGTTAAGCGGAAGAAGATGAATGGATGGTTGGATGGACAACCTCAGCTTCTGATGCTAGGTAGAATAAGCAGAACGTTAGTGAATGGAGCTTGTTGGCTACCTCCCGCTTTAACTATACATACCCATTACTGTTTTCTAAATCCAAGTTGTCAAGTTTTAAACAAGCTTTAAAATCCAGTGATATTTTTATTTTGTTATTTCATTAACTATTAACTTCTGGTGCTAGGTAGAATAAAAAGAAAGTCTTATTGGCTAATTGGTTACCTTCTATATTACCAATACACACCCATGTATTATAATTTATTAGTGTAGTTCTAAATCCAAGTTCTCATTTTTTAAAATGTTGTAGCAAAAAGTAAATACAGTACAGAGACTTAAAATCCTATAAAGAGATATATTTTTTTAATTTAGCAATATCAACCTAATAACTTCTGTTGCTAGCTGAAGGTTAGCTACCTTCCTCATTACCTGTACTGACCCAATATACATGATAATTTCTTAATGTAGTTCTAAATCCAAGTTGTCATTTTTTAATTCAGTAGCAAAAATTTGATATAGTAGAGAATTTTAAAATCCCATAAGTTATATTTTTCATTTATCTGCTGTATTAGGTTACATTTTGGTGTCATTGTGCAAATAAAGTAGTGTACTACACATTACTGATTACTTTTTAAAAATGAATAAATAAATGCAATATGTTACTCCCCAGAAAATGTAACTCATTACTCTACTTGTAGCATTACTTTGTAGCGTGGGGTGAAATTTATTCTCACATAATTACCAGTTACCGAGTTAAACCTTAGGCTACAGTCCCACACACTGAAACAAATCCCTATCCTAATGAGGACACGCAAACTTTCTTTTAATGTTTACATTTGAACACAAAGCCGAAAACATGCAAGTCAAAAACCAGCCCAAAAGACTTCAAAACAATCTCTGTCTGCAGGGCTGAGGTCAGCAAACGCCCAGTTTCAACATCACTCTGGATTCTTTGTGTGAGCACGTTGTGTGTGCAGATGCTTGCAAAGAGCTGAAGTTAACAGCAGAATGCAGTTGTTACCATCCTCAAGCCAATTTGCACTTTACCATCACACTCATGTCCTTTTGTGCAATAAAGGTCAAATTTATGTACATATGCATACGACTCAAACGTTGTAGATAAGATGTGAGCAGTGTCTCGGTAGCTTCTTGTCTGTAAGACAAGGTACATTTTTTTTGTAATAATAATAATGATGGATTGCATTTATATAGCGCTTTTCGGGGCCCTCAAAGCGCTTTACAATTCCACTATTCATTCACTCTCGCATTCACACACTGGTGGAGGCAGCTACAGGTGTAACCACAGCTGCCCTGGGGCAGACTGACAGAGGCGAGGCTGCCATATCGGCCCCTCTGGCCTTTTTAAATTATTATTGTTGTTGTTTTTATTAATCTTGCGTTAATGACAAGCAAATAAATAATAATCACCTTACAGGGATTGAGGGACTATATCGCCCTTAGTTCAGTCAGCATTTACCAAGCTGGCTGCAGTGGTGGAGAAGTATTCAGTATTTTACTAAATAACAGCAATGCCACAGTGTAGAAATAGTAGAGAGTAAATGTCAAGCACTGAACATTCCAGTGTGTATTATTAGCTGCATTTTCCAACAGTTTTGAAATTAAAAGCCTCATGAATTCACAAAATGTCAGTAATGTTGCAGTATATAATTGGATAATGATTACCTCTGCATTAGTGCTGAAGTGTCACTGATTGCTTTGGTTAGTCCAGTTAAAGCTCATATTTTTGCATCATATTTACACTGCTTGAGAGGGCGGTTTATACCACAGCGTCATATCTTGTGAGCTCATCATTAATTTTGTATGACGAATGTGCTCAATATAAAGTATGAAATGCCGTGAAATGGGAACACTTCCACGATCATGTGTAATTAGCTTCTGGACACTAACGGGATTTAATTACTTTTGGCAACATCATAATGCACTTATGTGCAATATGGTGTAGCACACTGATTGCAGCTCAGAAAACAGATCTGATAAGCCAGCGAACAGAAGCATGACACAGCTCGGTTTTCGTTTAATCACCTCAGTGTGAACAAAAGCCATTCTTCTTTCCTGGAAGAAACTTTGCTTAAATACTCGTGTTTTCTGGAGTGAAATCCACCAAATATGGTCTCTGTGTTATCAGTGCAGCAGATTTTATCAGCAAATGTCAGAAAATGTTAGTCCTGGTATCTACATAATTGTGGCTCCACAAATTTGAAAGATAAAATCATCAGTTTTGTGCATTTCGTGGGGATGTTTATGTAGAATTTGACTCGTAAAGCTATTTTAAATATATGCCATAAGTGACCTTGTGCACTCTGTCTGTGCCTTGCCTAACCAGACAATAAGCTAGAAAATGGAAGTGGCAAAAATCTTCAGTCCAATATCTGTAAATGCAAACAGCCTGCACTGAAGGTCTGGTGATTTAACAAGGAGGGGAGATCAGAGTACCGTCAGACAGGAGTTTATTCCACCATCTAAATTTTGGGTTTATTTGTGCCACATTCAGCCCATTAACAATATAACTCTGAGGCATTCACGTCAAACCAAATGACGCTTATTTACCTCATTGACTCTGGTTATTGAATATCCGACCATTTCACTAAAGTAATAATCACAGTGCGTAATAAAAAAATAAGTAATAGGAGCAGCATTGCTTCATTGCACCACCTCCCTGTAGTGTAATCTTTACTACATTTTGAGGTTTTATGAGCTGAGAGAGAATGCTAGAAACCTTCATATAGCACTTTTAAATCTCTCAAATAAAAATAAAACACACACACTTGTCAAAAACCACCTGAAACACATTCGGACCACATAACTGATCCAGCCCCGTGTGGTACTGCTGCCGTGGAGCGCAAGCGTGCAGCTTTATTCGTGGTAGAGAAATCATCTTTTAGTTTGAAAGTCTTTTTTCTCTGTGCTAACTTTCTGTTTATGCACACTCACGGCAGGTGACTTTCAAAGAACCAACACCATTAGCTTTGTTTGGATCTTCTTCTGTTTTCCCCTTTTCTGGCCAACACTCTGTGAAACTTTGAGGGCACCAGCTCCTTGGAGACTTCTTTTGTTCTTCACTCGGCTGTTCAGATAATCTTAGGTCATATCCACATATTTTACAGGCAGAAAACCTAAGAGAGATGACAAGAGCAGGATGTTTTTCCCCCTCCTAGCCTCTATTCAGCTCTGGCACGCAAAGCCCAACCTAAGCAGAATGAGTAAGTGGAGAGCATCATGACACAGTTTTGAAAAAGATGAGAGGAGGATTATTACACTGAGCCAGTGAAGTACTTCTTAAAGTTTGTTCATCACAGAGTGCTCGTCAAAGTGCCCCTAGAAAGACATTCAGCCGCGGATGCTCATTTGAGGGGATTTAATTTGAAGGAAAAGGAAGCATTTCGATTTAATTTTCCACAGAGACGCGTTGTCCAAAGGTGGGCATGTAATAATGACAGCCAGATCTGTCATTTGTCTTCTCTCTGTTCTTGCTGTTAAGTGAAATGAGTAATAGTGTGGTTGAAAAGCTTTTCAATCTCCAGGGAGGATCCATGCTGAGAAACAATGCAGTCATTTGTGTGGATGGAGAAAGTATATAATTTCAAGACCAATCACATGGAATCATATGGGAAGCAGCGCTGCACAGTTTGAACTCTTTAAATTGGTTAAAATGAGTAACTGCATTGGGGCTGTATCGCATCCGGACAGCTGGTCTGATCCCTTGAATTGAGAGATTTTGTGTCATTTACCCGCCTGTTACTTCAAAAATCAAGGAAAGTGAAGCGCATTCAGGCTCAGACTGCATGAGACGTGCCTGCTTCCTCCTGAACCTGACATGCTCATTATCAGCATTACCATAATCTATTGTGTCACTCACAAAAGCTTTGCTATAAAAGGAAATTCCACAGATTTTACATATCAAGCTCAGGCAGCTCATGCGGTCTCAGCAGCCAGCTGAGAAAAACTATCCAGAGGCTAAAAAAAAATACCCCTGATGATGTCATAATGATGTCACCAGAGTTATGTCAGACTGGGTGGTCAGGTAGTAAGGAGTAACTTTTGATGAAGGTAGAACAAATCCAAGTTTGCAGCTGCTTTATGGATCCTGTGTGTTTGAAGCTCTTGATTGTTAGACTTTACTCGTTTTTTAAAATAATGTCTTTCTTTCTCTTTAGTCACCCTGCTCTTTGGAGTGCAACACTAATGCATTACTTAAGTGTGGCTAAACATAAGGTAAGAATTGGCCAGGAAAGTCTGAAATCTGGCCCATTGTAAGCCTTTGGTTTAGGAGGGCATAGATTTTAGACTTTTAACTGTATTTTCATAAGTTTTATCCTACTGAGAAAGACATTCATACAAAGTAATTAAGGAACAAATAAACTGTAACAGTTAAAACACATATGTTCATGTTTTTTTGCTTTTTACTAGCAGCTACAGAAATGTGTGTGCTTTTTTGTGGTAACAATTACGACATAATTTATTTTATCGTGCGTAAAAACTAAAATTGCACTTGGATGGGATTAAACGTGCAAAGGAGAGTTTCTCTGTCAAATTATCCCCGCTTTGACGTGAAAAGATGTGACTCCTTTTAGAGCCTTTTCTCGGGTGTTTACCCAGCGGATTACATGAATTCTCGTGATTTTATAAAATTACCGTTTGGATTGATGTGCATGACACTTTCATTAATTACGCTCCACCAGCTATCCTCGGAGTCTGGAGGAGGTCTGCCCGCAACCTTTAGGCTCGAAGTTTAGAGTGAACACACCAGCACAAAATCTAAACTGCCAGCAGCTCCATGACGTCAGGTGAGGTTAAATACAGTTTATTCACAGGTAAAAACGTTAACAGCAAACATTCAGAACACAAACTCTGCTTTTTGTTATATTAGCAAGCTGTTGCGTTTTATGGGCCTTGATCTGCCTGCACTGTCTGGCCCTGGATGATGTGTTTATCTACATCAGTCTGATTGATGATGTTGAACATAAGCATAGGCAGAGGTAAAAGAAAAGTGAGAAGGAATGAGGCGAAAACAAAATCCACTCCGCCGTCCTCCTGTGTAACTTACTGCTTTTTGTTGGGTTGTTGGAGGAGGAAGAGGAAGGGGTTGTTGTTTTTTTAAAGCGTAAAGTCATTGATTGTCACAGCAGAGGGAAGCGCTGCTCCAGAGCGGCTATGTGTTGCATGCCTCAGCGGGGAAAATGTCTTCGTATGCGGGTGGCAGTTCACTGGGGAGCGGGTAGGAGAAAGGGAAGCAATGATTGAGCTCCGGGTCCGTGGGCGAGTATCCCGGCAGTTCGATTGACGGGTGTCCCCCGCACTGCACTTCTGCACCTGTCTCGTCAAACACACCAAAAACACCCAGGTTGATGTAAGACACCGGCTGGAAATCCGCCGAGGAGCAGTCCCGCTCCTCGCTGAAGATGATCGCCCCGGCGCTCTGCCTCTGACACTGTCTGCTCCTAGAAAACTGCGCTGTTTTGTACCTTTTGATGATCACCAGGTTGATGAGCCCGAGGAGGCACTCCAACGTGCTGAGAACAGTGGAGATGACCAAACTCCGCTGGTAATCCCTCAGCTGCTCGCAGGCAGGGTTCAACACCACAGAGTGGAAGCAGTAATGGGAATATTTCCTCTCCACCAGAGAAGCCGTGTCCCCGTCCACCACCGCGCCAGAGAAGGCGGTGAGGACCCCCAACAAGAAGACCACAACACCGAGGAGAAAGAAATTCCTGCAGCCGGGCTTGTCCGTGCAACACACCAGCGCGGTTCCCAGCATGACCTGCCCGATTCCCACAAGTAGCCCGGAGTAGAAAGCCCCGGCTGTGGAGCCGAGGTGGAAATGCGCTTTCACCGTAGATCCCAACGAAACGCATCTTAATCCAACGACAACTTCGCTCAGGGCGCACACGAAGAGGAGGGTGCTGGAGAGGACGGTGCACAGCCCTTTCCCACTCAACTTCATTATATTCCACCTCTGCCGCTCTCGATCCCTCTCCCCCGCTCTTCATCCTCCTGCGTCCTCTCCTCCGTCTCCTCTGGAAGCACTCTCACATCGGGACATCATCTGCCGGTGACTCCTCCGGTTCAGAGCGGGCGATCCTCGCCGCTGCGGCGTCTCTCTCGCATGCCCGCCGCTTTACAGGAATATATAAATAATTAATGACAAGAACGCATTCCTCACTGCACTTATCGATAATCCATACAGCCAATGATCGCGTTACCCAAGATCAGCTATAGCCGCCCATCTCACTCCCAAGCAAAAGTTTTTTTATGTTGCTTTTCCTTTTTCCTCCTGACGAGAGAGTGCAGTCCGCCAAGTCTCCGGCTTGAATGCCGTGTGCGGGGTTTTGTGGCAGAGAAGGAGGCGGCTGCTACAGCCGGAGATGCTCGAGCGTCCTGTTGACCAATGACCCGCAGGCCCCAAGAACACTCCTACAGGGGCTATAAGTGTGCCCGAGGTGCCACGTAGAGACTTTACAGTGACGTTGTGTTAAATGGAAAGGCGAGTGAGCGACTTTTGGTGGGTGATCAAAACAATCGTGAGCGCGACTGGTGTTCGGGAATATGAAATGATTTCTTTTTTCTTTTTTTATACACGCACTTCAAACCCTCAGGCTCGTAGTCAGTTCACCTCTGCAGGAGTGACTGCGAGGTGAGGAAATTTAATTTAGGCGAGCGGTAACCTGTGTTCCTGTTACTAAACTGATTTTTGGCGGAAACAAAATAATCCTCTTATTCTTAATATGAGCTAAATAAAAAAACGAAAAGCCCACCAGGAGTGACTGCAAAAACAAGTCCTAGGACTTGTTTTTGTCAGGCAGATCTTTCCGGAAATCACAAATCATCAAGCATCAATAAGACGAGAGGAGCTGAGCGAGGCTGTGCGCTGTCCGCGGTGCTGAAACATCCAAACCAGGAGGCCAGACGGCCGCTGATTGGAGTCCACAGCATCTCTCCTCACATTTCTAATGGAGCTTTAAAACTATAAACGTCTCGTATTTTAATGGTGGTTGAGAGAGGCTCCAGACTTCACCATAGACAACCTTTACAGGAGCGTTGCAGGGTGGATAACTGGTTAGAGGCAGCATTTCAGTCTTAAAACAAATGTAGAAAGACATACTGTATGAGTCATCCAAAGTCCATGCTGCAATGCCCAACAGAAGCTACAGCCCACAGTGTAAAAGTAAATGTTTGAGTGTGAAGTCTAATAGAGTACATAGTCATTATAAATAGAGCAGGCAGCTGAAAGAGACATTCTTCTAATTCATATGTTGAAAATATGTTAAGACAATCTTTACGAGATTTATTTGTGTGTGTGTGTGTGTGTGTGTGTGTGTGTGTGTGTGTGTAATCATGTAACCAGATTTCATGATAACGAATCCAAATATATGCTGAGTCATTTTTATTACCTAAAACCCAAAAACATTTTTGGCACTAAAGCGTGGAGATATGACACCACTGCGGTCACTAAGATTTATCATCTTTGTCATCCATGAGCAAAGTAAATATCACAATAAAATTTCATGCCAATGGCATTTGAGGCTGGAGTTTCGGGAGCAAAGTGCCCGAGTGACATTCATTTAGTGAAAACAAATTGGTGTCATTGAATCGGAGCTGGCTAATAATGAAATGTAAAAAAAAAAAATTCGTGAAAAAGTTCAAGGATATGCAAAATGATTCAACTGTGTGACCTGCTGTAAAACATTGCCGGTTCTTGGAGCTGAGTTGTTTCCACTTCATTTTATCTGGTTGTGAAAACTCAGCGGACGAGCGCGAGTTCTTGACTTAATTAACCAAATGTTTGACGAGTGCAGGTGGGAGAATTCCACCAGGGAAAGCCGTCGCCCAACCATTCATCACAATGAGCCACCTCATTGACTGTACCAGCACAGCTGCCAGCAAGTGTGAGTGTCACTCTAATTAGGTCATTACTACTTTGCATAGGTTTGCAGATAAGAAAAGATGCTGTGAATGATGAGCTGATAAGCTGCTGATTGGCTGATTGATTGGCAGGCTTGCTTGCTGGCAGTGTGTTTCAGTGATGTTGACACCATCAGCAGCAACAACCTGACTGACTGGCCCAGTCACCACAGGCGTAGATACAAAACTGAAGCAATAAAGGGGCAAAAACTGGAGAATCAAAACACAGAAAACGAAGCGTCTGAGGCTCAAAGTTTCCTGGGGAGCATATAACCCACTGCTTAACGAGTCTCTCTGTCACTTCTTATCCAGTCCATACATGAGCAATAAAACCCACAGCTCTGAGTCCTTCCTGCTGTTAAAGCATTGTATTTGAGCCATGCTTTGTGTGGCAGCAGATTCAAACCCATTTTTCACATTTGTTGTTCCATAATGTGGGCGTTGCGAAGCCTTTTGTAACTGTGATTAAGAGCTATACAAATAAACTTGGACCAGGGCATCACAGAAAATGGCTTCACTTCACTCACAGTGTGAGCAGCCACAGGTAAGGAGCATGCACTTTAATGTGAAGGAAAACTACTGGATTCAATTGCCCGATAAAAGTGATGAGGCAGAGGTTGTTAATAGCATATGTCTTTCATCAGGGCACAAGGTGAGCCCTGCTCACCTCCATAACACAGACCATTTCCCTCATGGTCACAGACCTGGAAGACACTGTTATTGAAGGGGAAAGTGGCTCTAACCTTAATGGGTAAGATCACCTCTCACCTACATGGCAGAAAGACCTGAAATTGGCTTCATTTTAATGTACAGGGCTGTCTGAATGTGATTACTATATGGTTTATAGGGGAAAATGCCACACAAAGAACTGCAGATAGATCCCCAGCATTATAACAATAATAATAATAAATCAGCCTTCTCCTCCAAGAGCAGATTTTCAACTTAAATCACTACAAGTCGTTCTGTGTGTGTGCGTGTGTGTGAGCATTTAGGCTCGATTGCTTCAGCTGTGCCAAGAGTCAGCTGTGAAGGGAGTGCTTCGGCATCTAAGATGCAGTTTTACAGCAGCAGTTACAACAGCCGCGACAGGTCGGCCTGTAAAATCCTGTGTTAGCCTATAAATATTAATGAATCTAAAGCAGCCGCTGCTGTTGATGGCTGGAGCTGGGAGGGACTCAAACAATGTTTCTTCTAAAGAGGAACTGACTCTGAAAAATAAATTCAATACCAAGGGTGAAAACCTGTCAGACCTAGATCAGACAGGGGACAGGGTTTGTCAAATGGGCGGGAGCATTAGGAACAGAGAAGTGAGGCAGTCAGCTGGTGAGATTATCACAGTATTCATATCAACAGTGTATCAAATGACCGCGTGGAGGATATCACTTGCTTTTTTTTCGAGTAATTTTCATTTGCCAGCGTGAAGCTTCTTCTCTTATTGACGTTCTTTAGAGCTGCTGCTGCTTCATGTTGCCAGCAGAAAACCTCAGATAAACCCACTGTGGGCTTCCAGTACCCACCCGAAACAGACTGAAAACAAAAGCAGCAAATGTTACCTGATGAACAGAGCGAGAACCCAGTGTAGACAAACAGATCTGTGTGCAGACACTGGGCTCGACTCCAAATAATGATATCCCTTACAACAAGACCAAGAAAAGAGTTCCAGCGATAAAGCTGAATACTCCTTAAATCAAATAATGTTTAGTCTATCACTAAGGGAATATATGAGATTGTTGTGTGTGTGTGTGTGTGTGTGTGTGGGCGCGTGAGGAAAATAGAAAGCATTTAATTTAAAAGGAGCTTGGTTTTGTGTTTGTTGGCATCACTGGAGGTCAGTTTCGAGGGGTTTGGGTGTTTGTGTATGTGTGTTTGTGCGGGGCTTTACTGTGTAAAATACAAGGTGCAGAGGTTGGATGATTGTGCATAAAGCCTGAGGAGCAGCAAAGAAATGCCATTTAGCTTTTGTAGATGCCAAAACATACGAGCAGGCGCGGCTGAAGATGAGGTCCAAATGATTCCATCAAAGTGGAAGTTTGAACTTATTTATCCCTTTCCTTCTGTTTCCTGCTTGATTTTTATGAACTTCATATCAGGATTAGAGGCTCCACAGGATAGTATCTAACAAGCATAATATCCCTGGTTTGATCATAGGTAGGGGACAGGTAGGGCATCTAGTGTAATAAAAAAACCCCCCGCCATATCAAATATATGGAGCTAGCTGCTGTAGTGCAGTTTCGAGGTTGAGCTACTGCCCCCTTGTGGCCAGAAATGACAACAAAGCAGCTTTAAGTGAGATTTGTGGGCACTTTTGGCACTTTATGGAAAATAACATCTCACTGAAATAATGAGTCTCTAAGGTACTTCCTGACTTATTGACCTTGGTTAAGAGTACCATTACCCTTAAAGTTGCACTTGGATTGTTTTATTTCGAGGAGAATCTCAGTCTTTGGGAAACTTATTTTATTAACAATAAAGTCAGAAATGAATGTGTGAAAAGTAACCACCAGCATCACCACTATTCCTTCTGATGTTCCCGATGTTAATAGCACCATTGTTATAATTTAATCTGAATCAAAAGTCAATTTAACTTCAAACCTTTCCCCTGGTCATTTAATTTAGCGCTGCTTCATCTAATTATACCCTTCACTGCACAACTGCATATATATTTAGTTTCCTCTGACTTTTAATCAAAGAACTGCAAAGTAGATTTTTCTTTGCGTTAAGGTACCAAGAAACATTTTCACTTTTCAAGCCAGGAAATACACAGGCTTAAATCACGAATGCGTGTTGTGCTAAAATATGTAAACAAATGAAAAATAACAAGGTAAATTATAAATAATTCAGGCACTGACTGGCTGGACTGGAGGGAGCACACACTGAAACCTGTTAATACTGTAAGTATAATTCTTCCCCATTTAGCATCATCGCTGAAATTGTTGTGCTGAACCTTAAAGAAGATTTATAGTGGTATTTATGTTAATGGAAATCCATACAGATGATGGCGATGGTAACGATGATGATCAGATTACATTAGTGAGATTCATTAGTGAGGAGGAGGTGAAGGAAAGAGGCAATGTAACGATGAGGGTTGCATGTGAGGGTAAAGCACAGTCTACGTAGGAGTTTATTTCAGGCATCCAAAGAATACAAATAAAGTCCTGCTCAAGATGATAGCATCGTCCAAATGCAAGTGAAAACACTGCTCCACAATGGAGTGTATTTGCAAAATTATGCTGCAGATCACTTTGATATTGTTATGTTTGCACAAAGCATCTTTGTCGTTGATCATTTTAAAATATTCAAAATCCTCCTACTCGGTTTCTTTCACAGAACAAATGAGGGTCTTTCCGCTCGTTCTTTTCAAAACCGTTGTAGCCAGAGGTAGTAAATGTTTTTCATTACCAGATAAATTGAGTGCAGAAGTGTCACCAAATAATAAAACTGTGTGGAATCATTTAAAATGATGCAACAGAGGACTTAGGAGAAGCTACACCCAATCCGGGGTTTTCCTTCTGTCTTGTAGTCCACATCTTTATATAAGGAAACTGCATCAGACATTTAAGAGACTTTAAATATGAGGCTGTTAGAGAACAGAGATGCAGGTGGAAGGAATTACTGCACCAGCACCACGCAGGCAGAGCGTATAGAAAAGGGCAGACAGCTGACCTTAGGCTTTCTCCCGAG